AGATTTCGTATGGGAAATCCGACACAAAACTTTTCCATATACTTCACTGCGGTGTCATTTCAATTGTTGATAGCTTGTCTGTGGAGCACGAGAATAAGGGGGGAGCCAAACCTAGACAACAGTCTCAACTCTCTTGTTGTGAAGACTTCAGAGATTCTCCCTCCACTGATGTAAGTTTGCCTCCTCCACGCCGTAGATACATGCAACAAACGGTACGTGCTAGGATAGAGGTCGTTGGAAAAATGTCCGGTTCGATTATCGCTACGACCAGTGTAACGTCTCGAGACTTCTTACTGGGTAGAAGGAGGCAGTAAGTGGAACCAAAAACATGCATTCCAAGGAGAACAAAGTGTTTAGGCCTGATCATGACCCGAAGACCAGTCCACTCATACAAGAGCCAGACAAATCTTAAAGTGACTGCTGAACCTCAGATAGCCACGTAAACAAAGCATTGCATCAACTACCAGGATTGATTTCGGTCGCTTAAATTCCCATATTACTTCTACTGGTGGACTACGCCTAAGCCATGCCAAAATCCCGTTCCCCTTCACTTTAGTCCAAATATATTTATCTAACCCAAGTGTGGAATATTATTTCCTAATTTCTGCCAGTTGCATCAATTGTGGGCTAGCCCTTCCATTAATCCATATCTAGACTCACCATGCACAAACATGATGGGTAGCAGAATCTGCTTTCTGAATGTTGTTTTAATGCCGAAAGAAACCCAAATTGTGCTAAAGTTGCTGAGTGGGGCGAGTGGTGTTGAAGTCAACTACCGCGCCTTATTCATACAAAAGATGATGACTAGACTTGCTGACTCGTATGATTATTTTCTCGCAGCACTGTTTACATTGGGATGGCTTGCACAGGTTTGGTGACTTGGCGCTCGTCTTGGTTTTGTTGGGCGGAATGGCTCTCGAACCATTCCAAAGGACCATTTCTTGCTTTTCCACCTGCTGGAATGCATTCAACCCAAGCATTCTTCAACTACTTTACAAAGGCAAAATGCCGACCCACCTGGATGAAATAATGATAGCCACAAAGGTCCCATCACCAGTTATGACAAAGACAATTACGTTTTCAGACGTGACTTAGTGGACTAATGTGATACTGATAGCGAGTCTATACATTACCAGTTTTTTGTCTCACCCATCATAAAGGGATCGCTTTGGGTCTCCTTCATCTCTTGTCGGACGTGCTTACCGCTCTTTGGACCTTACTAGTAGCCAAAACTCTTTCCTTCTTTCCAAGCAGTACCTTTCCTTCGTTTTCCGAGCAGTCTGTTGCACAAGGCATTCATTATTTTGGCGAACCCACTCCAGACTTCAAAGAAAACATCTTCCTTACTTGCTCGCACGCTTTCAACTTGTGCAAAGTTTGTGCAAGTACATTAAAATATTGAAAAAAAAATCCAGCTTTTATGCATAACAAATGGTCTGCAAACAGCATCGCTAAAAATTGGTCTCTCCATGCAATGAAGACACAATGTTGCTATACAATTTTTATTTCTCCTCGTCACTAGGGTTTTGGCAACCTATCCTCCGGCCTTCAATGCTGTATCTTCTATGTACAAAGAATGAGCTGATGTGGTATGTATTTTATGCATCGCTTTCGTCCGTCTCGGTCATCGCTTGGAGGAGCACGGTGAGGGCAGCGTTTCCTGAGGTCTCTGCCAGGTCTCGCACTGTTTCTCCTGCCTACAATGGGTCAACAGAAAACATTTCATTGTTCGGGGTAGGATTGATGTGGCAGTATTATTTACAGTGGGTGTGAGCACTCGGGTTTCGGCTTTTAAGGTATCCGATGTAACCCACATTACGGATTTCTTAAGCCTCTGTTACAATGGAAATCCTCTTGTCATACCAACTGCTGCGCAATGACTACATTCCCTCAATCTTCCGTGAGCAGTTAAAGCTGTTTCACTTTTAATACGTCTTTTTACCAAGTTGGGAAGGAATCACTTGTTATCGACGCTGTTGAGGACAGTAGTAATAATGACAAAATGATGCATTTACCTCATTTTTCTCGTGCAGTGGAGCATAGGCCTCAAGGAGCAGTTCAGCCGCGTCATACTGGCCATGTCTGCAAGCCAAATGGAGCGGTGTATTGCCCCGATCGTCTGTGGCACTCACCGACAGACCCACCTCGATCAGCACCCTCACCATCGTCGCATCTCCCATTTCAGCTGCCTCGTGTAGCATTGTGCGTCCGCGCTAAATATACACGTTTGACTTATTTCTTTCTGTTTTATCACCTCCATTGTGATCACCCACTTCCCCTAATCTAAATCTAGCCTTCCATGGAAAGGGGAACACTTACCAAGCATGTCTCTTCCACATCGGCTCCGGCTATGGCTAACGCTGATATTATATCGTATCGCTTTGCCTCAAAGGCACACTTAAGTGGACTCGTTCCCCGATAATCCCTTAGTCCCGGGTCTGCCCCGTAGTGTAGCAGCAACTGGAGCGCATATAGGTTACCCTTGGATGCTGCCAAGGCCAAAGGTGTAATACCAAACTAAAAAGCAGCAAAAGCCATTCTCGGAAACGATATTGAGCATTTAGACTTTTCTGAGTCAGCAACTTACTGCGTCCTGAGCATTCACATCGGATTTCATGGCAATAAGAAGTTTGACACATTTCTCCCCGTCCGTGCGAATCGCTTTGTGAAGAGGGGTCTCCTTGTCGTAGTTCCGAGCGTTGGGATCAGCACCGTGGCTAAGAAGCTCTTCCACAACCTCGTGAAATCCCCCACTTGCTGCTCGATGTAAAGGAGAGTCGAGGAGCTATCGAAAATACACAAACAAATCTGTTATTTTTACAAATGAGCTTAAAAATAGCACCCCCGACTTCCCCTTACCTCTGGATCCTTCACTTCGACGTCAGCTTGGTATCTGAGAAGTAGCTTTACCATTTCCAAATTACCCGCCTCTGCAGCTATTAATAGGAGCGTGTTGCCATGAGAATCACGTGCTTCAACGTCAGCTCCCCATCTTAGGGCTTCGGTGGTTTTCTCTAGATCGCCCTTTTGGACTGCTAGTAGAGCATCGGGGTTCTCCTAAAGAGACCAAAATGTTGGCATATAGTCACAATGTTGTGGCATGTGAAATGCCATTTTCCAAAACACCTACATAAGGGTAGCTCTCTCGGATGGACCCGGGCTCATAGCAGATAATAATGCCTGACTTTGACTTCACCTCTTTAATGTACTTCGGGGCGATGGGTGGCCGGTCATTTGTCATAGGCTTATCCTCTCCTGGACTTCCATTCACCTGCGATGATGACGAAATTGGTGCCAGTGATTGGGATGGTGGTTGCTGTGATAGGAGAGGAGGCGAAGAATTTGAACTGGAACCCTCACTCGAGACGTTAAACCTAGCGAGGACGTTTGGACGCTTCTTAGCTCGTGGTCGACCATTAAAGGGGCTAGTAGTGTTGGCTCGTGGAGCAGAGAGATTAAAGTTGCAGGTCTGTTGTGATTGCATGGCGCGAGAGCGAGTTTCACGTAAAGATGCGATTAGGGAGGTTTGATTGCGCAACGACGAGGTTGATTGCGATCGCAAGTAGCGCATCCGCTCTGCAACTTCCGCCTGTCCACGCGGTGAGGAACTGCGCTGTGGTGGAGACAAACAACTCGGGGTGGGGGAGCGATTCAATAGTGGCGAGGGAGAGAAGTAGCGATTCTGGCCCGCCAGCATGTTTAAGTCTCGAGGTGTTTGGTTGCGCTGGAATTAAAAGCTGTAATTAGGTGCGTCTGTTTACTCAGCTCTAATAAGTAGTATCTTTAATCTTGGTGTAAAGAATACTAGCTTAACCAATTTTTTAGTTATCTATTGCATTCTGTTTCAGGCAAAGTCAACGCCTTCCAAAAGTTGACGTTTCAGACCTCTTTATTACATCGACACCCAATAACCTCCTTTTCTTAGATATTTCTCACCAAAATTAGTGACCACATGACGGCGTTGGATGCGATTTAAGCTTACAGTGCCCGATCAAGGTAAAAGGCAACATTCGATTGACTTGAACGGAAACAGAACATTCGACAATGCAGCTTAGTGGACACCCATTGACAATTTGCTTTCAAGTTAGCGCCATATCTTCCGGGTTTGATTGTCTCGATAAAATGGCGGTGGAATAGGATGTTACACGAGGCAACAACCAAACAAATTTGGAGGATTCTGGCGCGCATGGTATAAGGCTTTGTCCTCCATTATACATAAATGACACCTCATTTGTCAAAGCCTCTATGAGGCTTTACGTCATTTCAATCCACCTTCGCATAAATGCTTCCAACCATCTTGTTTTATAAAAAGAGACTCCAGGTGACCAGTTCGTGCCTTTACTGTCTTAAAGTTACATACGAAAATGGAGCCCATTTTGAACTATCTTATAACCATCGCCACTCCAGGCATCTCCAGTGTGAAGTCTGGCCCCAACTTTGGGAAATGCCAAGACCAGCATCACCCGAGGATTTGACAGGAGATTGACTTTCTGATTATCAACATCCCAACTTAGGCAGAAAGTGACAAGAAAAGGGTAAACTGTGATGACTTGAAGTTTGACTGATAAAGATAGCTAAGATGCAACTGGTGCATTGGCACATACGTCCAAATGTGTGTCAACTATGGCTAGTCCTCGTGATAGTGCTCTGAAAAGACTCGCATCCTTCATCTGATTGCCTGTTAATTTTTAGCATCTGGCAGGAGCGTGGATTTCCCATTACGCATTTGTTTTCCTTCGCGTTGCAGCTACTGTGCGTACAGCGTACCAAAATCATTACTGATTTTTTTATTTTTTTTATGTCAATTTCCCTTTTATGTGCGTCAGGTAAAAGTATCACTCCAATACTTTGTATTGTCTTCGCGAATTTCATGGCCTAGCACAGGCTTTGAGATCATGCTGTCGTAATTTTAATACAAAATTCTTAACTTTAATAGTTAGTTCGGTTAACTTGTAATTGTTGGGGTGTGTGCACGCATGCAAGCGGACCAATTGGTTAAGTAGCCAATAGACTCAGAGCGGTCGCATGTGTGAGCTGTGACCTTGACGCTTTATTGGCCAATAGCTGAGCGACAATCAATTAGTGCAATTAGACCACTTTCCTACGTTTGTTTTACCTACCATCTTCTGGTGTGACTTTGCGTTTACAACGTCCATACATAACAGACAACACATTAACATATAGAGTTGCTTTGTATGGCGTCCATTCGCCTTCGCACGAAAGACAAATGTTGTGGTGTGGAGGGGTGACTTCAAACACTTTACTATCTTGTCCATCCAGTTACAACCATGATAATCAGGGTTGGATTTCAAGGGACTTACCTTCTCACCTAAATCCTTCACCTGTGGTCATTTGTTTTTCGAACATCAATAAAATAGGGTGGTCATATAGTTAGGTATGAAGAGAGCAAAGGGGTCAAGCAAAACCCCTTTTTCTCCTCTCCCTCCTCTCCTTCATTCATGACACTTTGAAGATACATAGACCTTGACAATTCTTGAATGCTTCCCAATCGAGGTGAGATGAAATAAAGGCCCATCAACACGCTCTGCTGAAACGCTGGTATTTCTCTATATTTCATTCCACACAGAAGGATGAGACACGTTCTACCTACTTCCTTGAAATCTTGAACAATTCTATAATGTACTCTACTGAAAGCCATAAATGAAAAGCAATTAATGGACTGTTTAACTCATCCAATAAAGACAAGCAGAGTCGTCCAGAAGTCAACTCACCGAATCTCGAGCGTAGCGATCGGCACCGAAGCTAACAAGGAGATTGTATATATCATCGTTGCCCTGTTTACTAGCGATGTGCAGTGGCGTTGTCCCATTGTTGTTGGCCAAGCGTGGGTTTGCACCGTTGATGAGAAGGAGTTGCACCAATCTAAGGTAGCCCTGCCGCACTGCCATCAGAAGTGCCGTTTCGCCTTGCTGTTTGAGATAGGAGTAGGCAGAGGACAAAGGTGAGGCCCGTTTTATAGCTTGTTAAAGTGCTTCAAAGTCAATAACCACCGGTTCGGTGTCGTTTGCAATCGCTGTCCAGTGTTCATGGCAATAAGCTCCTCCATCCGAAATAAATTATGTTTCGAACTCCACGGCGTGGATAAATGCTGCCAATACTCGCACCTCAAACGCATTGCCAGGTAGTTTTGAGTGCATGGCCATCTTTTCATAAATATTGGCGGTACCTTTTAGTGGTTCAAGGGCTTATAAAAGTGGTGGCTGTTACTACCTCTACTTGAAGTAAACTTGGCAAGGAGTTGTTCTTGCCATCACTCACCCGTTCCTCTTCCATTAGAAGAAGCTTGATAGATAGAAGGGAATTTGGGAAAACACTCCTGTGGACAAAACGTTGCGCACACTAATTTGAGAGCAAGTGACCACTCTCCTGTCAGGATGTACCAAAGTTTGAGCTGGATGGTAGTAGCAAATACTGCTGTAGGTCTTAAAACGATTTTCAAGCTGATGATTCCACCCCAACCTAGCCTTTGGGTGGTGACATGCCTTTGAGCGTGTGGCAGCATAATTGCCGCCAACACTGACGGCATGTTTGGCGCGGTGTTAGCAAGCCTGGGTCTAGACACAGCGTGATGGCTTTAAACAACTTGCCTACGGTGGTATGACAAATGTGTGAATTAAACCCTGAAATTAACAAGCATTACCTACCATTTTGGCAGTGAGAGGTGGATGTTTTACGGCGTTTAAGTTTGGAAATCCAAGAACCACCTCTTGGAATGAGTAAACATAATGGAGGAGTTGAGAGGTTGAGACTAATCAGAATGTAATAATTGGGTTTTAGGTCCGCGAATTCGTTTGATGCATCCCTTATTCTACGGTTTGCTGACTTGTTAATACTGCTGTGCTCTTTAACAGCGAGGGTATTCAGGAAAAAATGATGACTTGTTGCATGTAAATAAGAGAAAAAACTACTTGTCATGGTCATGAGGTGAGAGAGCGAATCGTTCCACCTCAACGCGAGCACTTTTTCGTATGGGCAAGCTGGTAAATTGTAAGCCCATTTGGAGGGCTTAGCGGGATACAGCGGTGGCAGTGGAAGACAAGCACTATCTAAAAGCACGCCCACTCTGATTTCTATTGGTCGATGCTGTGATGACCTCTGACAGGAGGGTTATGAATGACGTCTAATCCTATCGACACCTTTGACACTGTAATCGTCAGGGCGCGTCAATGACAGCTAACGCGAAGAAATTCATAAGCCATTCTTTACAGTTCGAATAGGTTAACCTCTCGGATCGCGTCTTCACCTCTTTACCAGCCTTGAGAGACAGCCATGACCCACATTCCAGTGATGGACTCAGGATGTGGACGGCATATTTTAAGTCCCAGTGGTTACAGGGGATGTATACGTTTGAGTCAGATGTAGCCTCAGTTGCATACAAAAGTGAGGACTGGAACAGCGTCTCCTGCTTTGAGATGACACTCAACCCTTCTTAGGCTCTTGACACGTGCAGCTTGGAAGCACTAAATTGACGTACAAGTGAGTTCACGCTCTGCAGAGACACTTCGACGGTGCTACTGGAGCCTTCCTATTTCGAGATGAATGGATGAAGGGACGAGAATGACTTCGAAAGGGTCTTGAGACCGTAAGTGTCCTGACCCACCAGGAAAGGGATGACAATCCCGGAGGTTAGTTAAGAACACTGAGCCACGGTCGGGACCGCAGATGGGGAAGCCCAACTCAATGCCTCACAGTGGCAAACCGTGAGAGGGCAGCCAAGCTTGCGATAATAACTGCACCACTTGAATAATCACTTTTATTGCATCATTTATTGTTTAACTTGGCAAAAATAATCTAACTAGAAAAGTGCGAATTCTAATGCCTAAAAATTTCCCACCAGGAGGGGGCCAATCGCCAGATCTACCTTTCACCGGCAAGATTTTGAAGACGAACTCAACCGCACTACCGTGACGATTTTCTCCTCCATTGTGGAACTAATTAAAATCCATTACACTTTTTTTACTTCTAATCCGCCGGAAGTTATTACAATTAAGTGTCGTACCCATCTGTGCGACGGGGTAGGAGATACGAAGATCGCCCCGTCACACATACGTGGCACCGGTAGTGAACGTGTGAAACTTTTGCTTTCCAAGTTACAGGCAAATGAGAGTTATAGCAGCAGTGCAGGTGCAAATATCCCAGCGTACCTCCATTTTTTTCCCTAGGAAGTGGATAACTCCGTTTGCCAAAGGTTTCAAGGGTGTTGAAACAGGAAGGTCTTGCATGCAGGGTCGGTCGAAAGGTTAATTTGTTATTCGGTTCTGGTGGGCAGCCTTTTGGGGAGTGCCAAACAACGTGCTGATGATGATGGATGGTGGTGAGGGCGCCGAAAGGTGTGCAAGCGTGCATAACCATATTTCTTACATGGAACCTCCACAAACTGCTTTTTATATTATCTTCCACATAAACTTAAGCTCTTCCATGGGATGGGAAAGACGACAGTTGTTCCTACGTCAGCTCTACGGAATGCTTAATGTGAAAGTTGATTGGATAGATGTCAGCCATTCTATCAGACTTCAATGGAGCTAGCATCTACTCTCACTGGCTGGAAATGGTAGCACAAATTGGTTCGGTAATTTACGACCCTATTTTGTGTACCAAACTGACTCAAATGTCGAAATTCACAACACCAATGCCGAGTCAGGAATGGAGTCGTCTTCGGGAGTTCGCAGTCGAAAACACCATTCTAATTTAGAACTTTGCAAAGTGACCAATCGTGTGACTGGAATGACCTCAGGATGGCTCGCAGTGGTGCAGAGTACAAAAGGGGGAGTAAAGGGTAGTCTTAATTTTTAAACGGATGCTTCCCAAACCTTCTGCACTCGCCCAAAAGAGATTCTCGCCTCATCAATGCCATAAAATATTAGCAAAGGCTGGTCCTGCCCCTCACCTTCGTCTGTCTATTCGGATCGGCATTTTGTTCGAGGAGGAAGGTGACCATGGCATATTGATTGGCTCGACAGGCGTTGATAATTGGTGTGGCGCCGTTGTAGTCCTCAAGGTCAACCTCCGCCCTGCCCTCCACCAACACTATCGCACTCTCCACGTTGCCTCGCAAAGCGGCGTAGTGTAATGGAGTGCAGCCGCGCTAAAAATAAACTTAACATTAAAACTAATCGAGGTGAAGGTGAGAAGAATGCAATTAAATTTGCGATTAGGCTTCATTTGTGTTAACATTTTCCAAAACGATGCCTACCTCCTGGTGTAGAAGTTTTTTCTTCCCCTGGTAATGTTTTTTTCTTAAGTTGTTAAAATGGCAGGTGAAAGAGGCGCTAGGTGTGGAAGAAGTAAGGCGGGGGTGAAAAGGATAGACGAGGTCGTAGACTTACCCAATTGCGAATGTTGAAGTCGGCACCTTCGAGAGCGATGCGCCGCAGAGCATTGCTACGCCCCATCTCCGCGGCGAAGTGTGCTGCTGTTTTGCCTCCCTTGCCTGCCGCGTTGACCCGTGCGCCAGCCCGAAGCAGCAGATCTATGGAGGCGTCCATTCCGTTGGAGATGGCGTAATACAACGCTGTGTAGCCCTCCTACGTGGATAAAATTTCGAACACGCATCAATAACCCTTGTTGTAAACGTTACTATCTCTCTTTGAATAAGGCGAAACGTTGAATGCCGCGAAGATTGCACCCAAATTTGACAATTTTTGTAATGCTAGGCCCCACCTTATCCTGTCATTCAGACACACCAATAACTGCAAATTGTTGGTCAAGAGAACACAAGTAAAAAGAATGTAACAAAACACCAAAGCAACTAAGATGTCGATTTTGCTTTCTTTCGCATGAGCAAAACACAGGCACCTCAAATGGTTGAACACAAAAGGCAGAAGTAGGAGGTTATCAACAAGCCACAAGGGTGACTGTAAGCCATAGCTAAAGTTGGGATAAGTTTCAAAAGATTTGTATTACCGCTGTTGAATGCGCCTCGCAACCAGTAAGGGAGGGCAATCTGCCACTAAAATCCGTCTGCCTGACAATCAATTTCTTAACATCTTGGCTCGAATTAATTGTTATAATGAATGCAACGCATGTAAGGTGTTTGAAGTACCTCTTGTGGGTCAGAGGCGGGAATTAAGAACACCAACACCGTGCTCGAGGAGTCAGAATAGGCACTTCTTACTTTTAAGCTATCCTCTGTTTTGTATACACTGATTCCAACTGCAGCATTAATAAGTAAGCAGAGGAGCCAGACAAATGGAGCTACAACGAAAATAGTCACCTAATTTGTCCATTTAGAATTCAGTAGCGGTGCAATAGTTTTGTTATGTCTGAATCATCTGAACTGCTTATCTTAACAAAACCGCAAACATTGGAATTTAATACGAAACTTATTTGAAATGCTGAATTTCATATATTAGGCAAATGAATGAAAACAAACTGCCTTCATGATGCCTTTTTAATACCCTCTTAAAGAGCTCTGAGATCGACCATCGTTCCACTAAACTGAACAAAAGTTGCTTGTCGATTGTCTCGCCTCCAAGCGCCTCAAGTGATGTCCTCCGGTATGTGGAAGGCGCGTTTAATTGCACTACATATTTTAAATTATAAATCTAATTACACATGCCGTGTGTTTGTGAGAAAAAATCATGTTGAAAGAAACATAAAAGACAAATAAATCAGCTGCAGTTCTGACTAGGCGAGATCAAATGGCCTTAGAACCGTAAATTAAATCGTGTATCCATAAAGGAGGGTAAAAGTTAAATCAAAGAATCCACGTCTCAACAGTGCACCATTCGGGAGGACGATTTTGCCTTTATTCAGAGTCGAAGGGGGCTGAAAGCTTATCAACGACTCAGTCCAAGTATTGCTGTTGTGGTCACAATAATTTCAGTTCATTTTCCTCCACCACGTCGCTACACCAAACGCTGAACAATTTAACAATAATATCTTTTAACGAAAGTGAAATGTTGATGCCTCCTTGTGATTGATTAACCTAAATGTGGATGGAGCGCTGATTTTAAAAAGAGGCGACGTTATAACACACCACACATTTGAAATGAGGAAACAGGTAAAGTTTATGAGTCTGTTTGAGTACTGTTGTTAAATTGGTTGATTCACTGAATATTACTTTCCATAATGACACAAACAATTCGTGCCGCGTCATTTCATTATTAATGTTAGATGAATATGTTTTACTGTTCTACTTTCATACGCTTGAGTCCTTTGTGTATATGAGCTGCAATGGCAACGGTTTCCAATGCTCTCTTTTCAAAGATGCAGTGGAGGCAAAGACTAGTGTTTCTTGATAGAGCCGCCTAATTAACATTCATTTCATGAACTGAGCGGAACAACTGGTACAGAGTTTTCAGAGAGGGTGATATTTCGACGCAATTAGGAAGCGTTAACGAATCGGCTAGTGGCGCCGCTACTTAAAAAAGGTTCGAGCAGTTTGCGTTATAAGCTGATTTTCCTTCGGCGTGAAACAGGATATTCTCCCATTTTAACTTTGAGTCACAAATGCACAAAGTATTTTCACTTATCACTCTATGATAGCTACCTATCTAGCACTATGTTCTTGAGCCTTTGGGTGTAACAGTTCGGTAGTGTGTTAGTGCTTTTGTCCACTCTGCACTGCGTCAGTCCATTTCCTCCGAAAAAATGCCAACGAATGCGTTGGATATTGCAGAGTCACAAGAAATGGCATTCTTTAGCTGATGACTATGATCTCATTGCAGTCCGGAATGCTGTTATTCGTTTTAGTTCGCCATTTCATTAACTTGGTGGAGAGTTTGGTGACCCACTTCTATTGCAGTAACTGCATTTTCCATATCATGAGAATGTTTTAAATCGCATTAGACGCTCACCTCGACAAATCATCCTATGGTCTCAGGAAGCTCACCTTCGAGGTCCAGAGGGCACGCTGTTGTAATTTCATTAAAGGGATTGCAAAACGGGTGCAAGTGTTGCTACAGTCCTTTTTTCCCTTATGCAAGTTGAACAAGTATTCTGCTCGAAGGCATCATCTTTCTGGTTCTAGATTCTCGAGAATTCTCTGCGCCTTGAGGTCAAAGCGCATGTTATGCAGGTTTTCCTATTTCATCCTGAGAATAATTTACTCTAGTATTCTTGACTGTACCCACAGAATCATGTTCAAATTCGTGGAAATTTAAAGGATTCTAGTAAAAATGGTTCAGGAGCACAGTTTTTTTTCGATTTTTTCCTGTTTCAGTGGAAGAATGGCTTCCTTGAATGCGTCAACTGCATGCAAGAGCAGGAATTGAAGTTAATTAAAAATCCGCATCAGCACTTCCTCATCGTTGAGGATAAAGACAAAAGATGAGGTGCCTCCAACATCTTCATCAACCTGTTCTACAACTCTCTGATTTTTGCTTTTGAGGCGAAAGTTCAAAATGCGTGGAATGATCTCCTTGTCAGTTGGTGGCAGGCAGATGCAACTCGGGCCGTTTTTGGTGTGAATACGAACCCACCATTCATCTAAGTAGTGTGCCTTAGAGAAAGTCACATAGGCTTTGAGGTTTAAGGAGCATGAAATAGAGTCCTCTCGCTTACCGGGTGGATACAAATGAATCTGTTGCAGGACTTTGATACTCCTTCACATTCAAACTCAATAACGACCAACAAAGCCTTATTTTTCTACATTATGAAATCGAAGGACGGAAAAAGGAACTTACGAAGGAGATGTGATTGACATTTGCACCAGCCTCGATGAGTACACTGACCACGTCTGCTTTGGATTCACGGCAGCCGACAAGAAGAGGTGTGAGACCGTTCTTATCCACAGCCTCGAGGTTGGCATAACCTTCCAGCAGTCGAATCACTCCCTCCACGAAGCCCGCCTTAGCTGCCAGGTGGAGTGGACAGGCCTGCTCCATCTGCAGGGACAAACCAAGGTAATAGAGGTGTTCAACTTGCATGTATTGTTGGTGCATGCATAAGTTGTGTGTTCTGGCACTGCAGGTTCCGTCACTTAAGACCTGGTAGAATTTATTCATTATAGAATCCTCACTGTGTCCTCCAATGACGTTCCATGTGGGTTCATAAATAAGGCTTCTTAATTAGTTGTGGGAAATGTTTGGTTAGATAACGACAATACCGTTTTTTCCAGCTAGTTATGGTGTACCACGATCCCTTTGCCAACATTCAACTCACAAGACTTGTTTTACACAATGTGATTTGGTCGCCTACCTTAGTTGGATGGTTAACATTTGCATTGTACTCAATGAGAAGGCTGAGTTCGTTGAGTTTTCGACGCTCGCAGGCTGAATGAAGAGCGGTGAAGCCATTCACATCGGTCCCATTCACCTCCTCGCCTCGATGCACCAGCCGTGCGAGGTCTTCTGAGGTGCCCGATTTCACGGCTTGAATAACTGCTGTCATGGACGGATGGGTGGTTCAGGTAAATGCGTTTGCCTTTTCCTTACTATCTCACTCCCTCTCTCTCCCTCTTTCTCTGACCTACAAACCCATAAAGCACTTCCATTAGGGTGGCTTAAGTTACCAATCCGATTGGAAAGGGATCAGTAATGACCTTTTTACTTATTTGTCATTTTATGTGTAAATAAATGAGTGACTCAAGCCGATAACCTGTTTCTCGGATTTGTCATCCTGCATGTGAAAAAGAGAGTGAGTTGCTGCCTATTTTAATGTGGAGGAAGCTCTGCAAGTAGCCGTCATAACTGGTTTTTTAATTAAAAGAGAGGCCACAAGTTCGTTTTTTTTGGGTTTTTGGGTTACTGAATTCTCACTCCAGTTCCATCATCGCCAGACCCCACTACAGTGGGAATCGGCATGAAATGAGCCTCTAAGCGTCTCGTGAATCAAACATGATGAGTCTGGACTTTAAATTCCTCATATTTTTATCCAAAAAAAAATAAACAAAGGAACGCGGAGAGTTGTTGTTCGGAGACATTTTTCAAATTATCAATGCATTTCTTTCAGCCTATTTAAGAAGAGATATTTTGAAACTGAAATCAACGTCAATGGGGGCGAAATCAGCCGTGTTAACTTTATGGAGCGGCTTTTATTTGCACGTAAGTTATTTGTTTAACTTTGAGTGCTGGTTTGAGGTTGCTTAGGGTTCAAACAATTTTACTTCCACAGAGTGTTCAGGCTCCCAGCATAAATCAGTAGCTACCAAATCCTTCCCCACGTCCACAATATGCGTTTCGCTTGAGTGTTATGACTTCTTTCGTACTCGAGGCAGCCTCGGAAAGCCACATTATCAGACTTGTCGAACGGAGGAATTAATGAAGCCGTCTTTTGACTTGTGAGAGCCAGTTCGTTTAGAAATTTCTATAAACTTGAGCCAGTACATTAGATAGCAATAAGGATGGCTAAAACTTCCAACTTTTGACTTATGAGCAACATTTGTTTCGGAAAAAAAAAGTGTGTCTTCAGCACAGCTGCATCATCTCAAAGTCAAGCGTCGCCTTTTGGTAATATGTTGACCCGGCTTCCACAAATTGCGTTACTTTGGAGTATCACCTTTCCTCTTTTCGCCTCCTTTTCGGAGTGTGGATGGAAAATTGAGGACTCTGACAAAAGACCACATACCACCCTCGGCAGTTTGTGTTAGTGATGTGAAGGAGGGGCTCGGGATCACAACCACTGTCATGGTCCTTAGACCTTGCCACCAAGATGAAGCCCATTCACGGACACTCCAAAGGTCTCGCCATCAACGTTGAGAATTGAAAAAGGAAACTAACTTTAAGAAGCCCAAAGGATTGCTTGTACCCAAATATAACTAATCTTAATTTAAGAAGGACAATGGAAAACAACATCCAAATTTCACTTTGAGCTATCAGGTGCTGGAACTGTTCCACAAATTGATAAATCATGCCAATCCTGTACTACACCATCCTCTACTTAAAATGATCAAGACAAATGGAACCATTAATCGTCCAAGCCTGAGAAAGTAGGATAGACAAATGGCATTAACCCTTCACTTGCGCCATTCCATTGAATTGCAAATGTGAAAGTGGGGGGAAGAGGGGGAGTGGCGGTGAGGGGTGATGAGCAGAGGCGTGTGAATCCGTCGTCTCTCGGACTTACCCTTTTATTCAGGCTAATGCGCAGCTACTTCGTGTGGTAAATCACACACACTTACATGCACACAACCCTCTGCTAAGGTACCAACAACTTCGAAAATTCAATGCAATTTTCTTAATAAATTGAATCACCTACTAACATCGGCGGCAAAGGTTAATCCTTTTGCCTTCCCAACGTGGTAGGCTCCTCTCTTCAAATGATGAAGGGGCATTAAGATTGTTCCGAAGTTTATCAAGCATTGTTGGGGTTAAATCTACTTTACCTTTTCCCACAACTTCAAGTTTATGCGTCTTAATAGCTGAATGAGGTTATGCAAGCTCCGCCAGGTAAGGGACTGCAGTTGGAATCCCTCCTCCTAAATCCAGCGAAGCAGAGACTCTAGGTGCTGAAAGTCAGAAGCTTGTGAGAATTTGAATTCAAGCACGGAAAAAGTCTGAGTATTGGCGCATGTTGGAATGGCGCCGTGATTCTTCGCAGACGTCTTCTGACATGCTTGTTTGTTAATAGACAAATTTAAAATGGTAATGATAGTGGTAACCCCTTAGAGTCAGAGGCTAAATTAACACCACTGAACTCGAGAGCAATAGCGCAGTAATAATACTGCTCACTAAGTGGACATACACGAGCGGTGTGCAGAGAGATGGGAGGAAAATGCGGTCGCGAAGGCGACTACTTCGCACATTCTTTGTGTGCGCAAATGCGTTAAAGTTTCACCGCTTCCTCTGAATGTGTAATCGTAAGCAAAATATGCCGGCAAACGTCTTTTGCCTTAGTTGAAAGCGTTGCATCAGTTGCGCATTAATATGCGCAGAATCACAGTCGGGACAATCATGCATAAAAAACTTTGCCTGTTTTTATACTTTTCGCAAAGTGACGACGGAAACAATGTGAAGGAAAACAAACACCCACTGTCTACAGTTACGACATGTAAATTCTAGAAGATGCCTTCATTGTGTTTGTCTCAGTGCTGTAATATCACAAACTGACAGGGTTTCTTGAAAAGTAAACTTTATTTTGGTCAAAGCAAAGGACGCCTTAATCTGATAATATCACAAGGCAAAAGATGAGGTGATTGTTCAAGCTATTTGATTTTTTCGCAGTCACTTCTCGATTTAAGAGTCTGTTAAAAATTGGTGAATAATGATGTGAAATCTTTACACTCTAGCGGCATTTTAATGATTATTCTCGATTCTTGAGAAATATATTCCTTTTTAATGTAAAGGGCAAAAATTCACCAAAAATCTGCGATTTATGATGCAGAATATAATTCGCCCTTGACTTCAATTGCATAAACGAAACTGATGTAAACAAGCAAACAACTTCCCGCCAACTCAAAGCTGGTTAATTTGCATATTTGTTGCATGAACACCTGTAATATTGAAGGGTCCCCTTGAAAGATTACTGATGCGTCAGTTGAATTTACTGTCCCTTTAAGACTTCACTGCTCTTTACCGCAGACGATTGCTTTTAATCCAGCCAAGTTGGTACAGAACACCCAGTTCGTTACGGTAAGTTCATTTCGGTAATTAGGAGGAAGGAAACTTGTAGCAGATTAAATGAGCCGTCCGTCGGGGAACAAAATGACCTCATTAGCTTGGCAGCTAATTCAATTGATGGACTTTATCGCATCTCTACTAATAGTTTTGACCTGTGCTTGCCTCTGACCATATCATGGTGCCGAGACAGGCGTAATAGTTAATTGTACCTATTGTCAGACATCACCTCCTCAGTAAAAATGTCACTATAGGTTTTGGGATAGAATTCATCCTTGTTTTAAATTGCCGGAAAGGCACAAGCTATAGCAATCAAAAGTTACTCAGTTGCCTCAATTGCAATTAAGCAATATTGCTTGAGCTCACATACGCCAAGGTTAGTTGTCGCAAACCAAACGGCACATTAAAATGGAGTGAACTGTGGTTGATCAAAGGTGGTCGAAGGCTGGCCATGTCTTATTATTACAGACTATAACTAATCTTTTGTCCTACTTAACGAACAATAGGATCAGGAAAGTCGCTCTCTGGACTTAGAGGCCTTTCACGGCCGTCTCTCAACTCGTAATTGTAAGTCCGCATGCTTAAGTTTCATCATGCTTAAGCATTGCTTATTCTGGGATCCTTACTAAAATCCTTTTCTCGTGTTTTGAATGAGGAAAAAATGATAAGTCTTACGGTGTAAATCGATTAGACTGTCACTTTGAAGAATATAAATGGAATGGCGAAAAAATCGTCATGCGTTAGACTACGACATTAGGGTGAGGATGACAAATCTAATAGAAAACACTAACTAAAATTCTGAACGTACTGAAAGTAGGCGGAGTAAAGGAGTATTTCCTTGGGTGACTTCACAGCGCTGCCTATTTGACGGCGTGGATGTTTGGCACGAGGTCGCTAGCTGGGTGTTAGTAATATTTTCTACTGGCAAGGCTTTCCAGCCAATCAGATGAGCCCGAGATGACGTAGTTCACGCACGTGCGCACTCACTGCATGAGCACGCGCCCCACAGACCGACACCCGCCACTGCGGTTGCGTGGGCTGCACACGTCTTCTAGGGCACAGCGCCTCTTCGAAGTGAGGCAGTGTTGCGAAATGTGACATGGCTTTGAGTCAGTTGGGTGCAAAGGCGCGTCAGTATGCAAGATAAGTCCACTTTTTCCAGACGAAGAAGTAGTCGAAAGTCGTATCATCAGGAAATTTACGACATTTCTGGCTGATGATTCGGGAAGTAAAGAACAAAAAAATCTCTACCGACTTTGGTAACACATATACAGATTGTAATTATAAAGGGGTATACAAGGAAGGGAAAATGATACAAACTTTTCTTTTGCTGAAAGAATAACAGATACGAAACAATGCAATTGTACCATAAGTGCATATTGCCAAAGCGATGGAAACAGTAGCACCTTTACACGATTGCTTCAATGCCTCAGGGCTAATTAAAAAAGAATGTGAGTAGCCGAATCGGTTGCGCAGTGATCAAGGGTCCGGTGACCGGTCAAGCTCCGTAAATCGATCCTTGACACCCCAAACTTGCAACAGCCCACTACTTTAAAGTTTCAGCAAATGTCGGAACTTATGCAAATATATCTGCTTCACGACTTCGATTTTAGCTCAACACCTAACCAGCATCGTCATTCTCAATTAAATGCCTTGAAGATCTCTTTGGTGCTCAGAAAGTTTCTATTTCTTTTAGCATCAGAATTTTGGTGTTGATGTAGACACAAAGGCGGGTCATATTTAACTTAAACCTGGTGCTACACCAAGTTCACATCAGTATTCTTGGTCTGCGCATTGTTGAAGCCAGGGGTCTTATGCCCATCTTCATGCAGGTCTCGACAGCCTCAAACGTAATTAACCCTAGCGACAACTGTTTCCGCCACCGTTCTTCAAGGCAGCAAAAGCGTCACCACGTGGCCCAAATCACCAAGTGTTCTCCTCTTTGCTCAACCCTGCCTCCTCCCTCTCTTCTCTTCTCAAGACGCACTCAAATATAATTCCATGAAATGTGGTCCTACTCCTTAACCGTATGCTACACCACATCAGGAACCTATCCTTTACATGGTCCACCTTAAATGTGTGCACAAGCTGTCCTGTCTTAAAAAGCAGTCAAAACTAGTGGAGTAGCTTGTCTTAATGGGGGAAAAGGTTGAAGCACTCATTACTTTTTGCATAAGCAGTGCAGTAACATATTTGGCCACCTCATTCCTCATTCGCTGCCTATACGTGAGTTTTCTCTCGACCAGGCAATGCTGCTCGCATTCCCTTCCATTTAAGAAGTGCTGTCATGCCCTGCTCCCACGACGATCTCATTCGGATTGAACACGTGTGCATGGGGGAGTTTAAGGCACCGTATAAAGGCACTTCCTTCCTCTTTTTGAAGTCAAAAGTTGGGCAAAGGGTCTCTGGGCCTATTCTCTGAAGAGCAGCAAATCTCGCCGAGAGCCGCACGCTCAGCATTCGCATCTTGATCAACGACGGGTAATTTGATTTGCTTACTTAAATCATTACATGATTCTCACCCCTTGCCGAGTCGGACTGCGGCATTATACATGCTAACGCTCGAATTCACTGAAAAATGCCTTAACAAGTTCCAAAGGCGACAGAGTTCGGTCCTGTCTTAAGGTACTTCTCAACCAGCAGCTATAATAAAGTGCTGCTAGAGCGATTATGGCTTCAACTCACATATCGAGCCAATTTGACGACTTTTAAACCTTTAATTATGTAGGCAACCATATTTCCTAATAAGAGAGCGCTTTTCCTTGGACAATACCCTAAGAAGGGAGGCACTTCAATATGTAATTTCAAAAGATCAGATAGCTAAGACTGTCGACCGCAAAATGTAGCAAATTAATTAACTATTGGTCCTGCCGATGGGCCTTCTACTTCTTCAGGGAGGTCTGGGGGTGCCAAAACCAGCATGGGAACCATGACATAATTGGCGTATTTTCAGGCTTTGGCAGCACTAGCATGCTGGAAAAGGCTGTGATTTAACGATCTGGACCTGCTTCCTTCCTCAGAACACTGACAGTGCAATACTAATTTTTAGCGAAATTGTATCATAATAATTGCTTGATGCCAATGCTATAAGCTACGACGACTAAAATTTTTCGGAAAATCCGGTACATAACCTCGTAGATACCCCTTTTATAGCCATCGTTTGATATGTATCGGAAACCGAAACAGCAATAAACTACGGATTAGTACTGAATAATGCAAAGTAATTTCGGTATTGCCGAAGGGACATGAAAGCCCTTTGTTTAGGGTTCATTTGATTGATGACTTTTGCAAAAGTTGAAAGCGGTTGAAATTAGCCTTATGACGATACCGGTGGCTAAAATAAATCCAACTTGACCTCGACCAAATGATCCACAAGCAACATTAAATGCAATTTGTGAAATCATCAGATAATGGATGCCATAGGCGCCATCACAATCGCAGCGCGGTTACTCCGTTAGGGGTGATGGCAATCAGCCTTATCAAACAGTTTCCCAAAATTTTTAAGCAAGTCCGTCACATAATCATGCTCACATATGAACTGGTAGTCTTTAATATAATGTAAGTGATTCCTATTAAAAGTTGGTAACAAGCATTTTCAATTTGCCTTGTAATACTCAGTTGATGTGGCCGCCTAATGTCTAACGGTTACTGTACGAGTCGTTTGGCCCTTGTGCGCGTTGGCTGGCTTCAGAACCCCCTCAGGCCTATTATTTTGCTATCTTTGGAGTAATGTATTCGGCTCCGCTTACTGCCTTCTTCTACCCGGTGGAAGTCCCGGACCGCCAAACGTCTGCCTCATATTGCTAAAGTGGGTGGGCAGATGAGGATAATAGAGGCAAAGTGAATGCTTCGACGATAAAAAGGCCCCACTGGGAAACACACAATATATTATCTGTCCAAATTTGCCTTCCGCAAAGAATCTAAGCTGAAGGTCAAATTCATTTATGTAGCTCCCGAGACTTCTCGGTTGGTGGAAGAAAGCATTAAGATCCGCTAACTAGTACCAATGTAACTACCATGCATCATGTAAACAAAGCATTGCAATCAATGCGCGCAGTGTCTCGAGACTTCCTACAGGGTAGAAGAAGGCACAAAGTGGAGCTGAATGCATATATTCCAGGGAGAACAAAGAGGTTAGACCTGAGCTTAATCCGAAGGCCAGCCCACGCGTACAACGGCTAGACAAATTTCAAAATGAACAGCAGACATCAGGTGGTCATAAATCAAAATATTACAAAGCATTTTGTATTTTGATGAACTGATTTCATTTGCCGGGATAGTCTGGATGAACTGTGCCACGGTTTCGTGAGCCTAACCCAAAAATTTGATCGGATCAAAGGGTTACTGCGCCTCTTTCTATTAACATCAGTGAGTCACTTCCCGCATTTATCAACTTCTCCAATAATGGACTATATTAGTCTACTTACAACATCAATAAGTTTCGCATGCAGTGTTTATAAGCTTTTTGCCACCTGCTCTATGCCAAAAATTGTTCATGGAGTTTCATTATGATGAAATGGAATTTATTTCGCGGTTTTTCTTTTTAAATAACCAGACATTTTATAGGAACATTTTATCGAAAACTCGAATTCATGATTGGCTACTTCGGCGTGCGAATTGAGCTACAGCAGAGGCTGGCTATGGATACGGAGCAGGTCTCGTGTGTCAAGGTTTCTGGCCTAGTTCTATTAAAGATTATCAAACATTGTGAGGAAGAAACGCTTCTCGCTACAGAACATGTAAATGGTGTTCTCCTTGGGTTGGCTGTAGATAATGCTCTGGAAATAACTAACTGCTTTCCACTGCCAAAAATCTCCGAGGATGACCAAGCAGTAAGTGAAGCGCTGAGCGTCTATGAATACGATATGATGAAAAATATGCGTGAGGTAGGTCAGATTTCATTTTGATTCCTTTTGTCCAGCTCAACTCCGACTATCTCAGCGTCGGTTATTACCTTGGTGGTTACGGATGTTCGTTTCTCACACGCTCCCTTCTTGAGACTCTCTTCCAGTATCAAACACTTGTTTCAGAAGCTGTTTTACTTACCTATGATCCTTCTTGTGCCACTCGTGGTCAGCAGGGTCTTAAGTCCTACCGGCTATCGAAGGTAATTTTCGATGCCATGTTAGAAACGGAGAAGCGTATACGGCTAATGGGGAACGCTAAGGTATTTAACTCTTTTTGATCAAACCTCAAATTTTTATTACAAACTCTTTTGAAATAAGTTTAAAATTGCAATCTGTTTTTTTTTTTAGAATCCCGAAATCTCATGGGAGTGTGTAAGCTCTTTTATACAGTTTGCCGTCAGGCATAATTGATTTTGTTGGAAGGCTGGTTCGTCGCACTTTGTACTTGTTTGATGTTTCTTTTGCTGCAAACCTTATGTTGGCCATGCAATGTTGATGTTTTCCTGATATTGTGTGCTTACCCTCAGCCTCTACGGCAATTGCTCTTTGCTTAAATCGATTGCTCTATTTTTCCTCTAAATGCCTTTTTATCAGTATGTCTGATCTCTCCTTCCTCAGGATGCGTCTCTCCATGCTGGGAAGACTAACTTTACCCGGCTACTGGAAGAACTTCCAACTAGCGTGGTAAATTCTAAACTCGCCCGCATTCTTCTGAAGGACATCGTGGACCAATCAGATGAGCAGGTTGCTGATGCAACTCAGGTCAAGGCCCGAAACAGCTTCTCGGGTCTCCACCTAAGTATGGCCAGTGACTTGGAGCAGCAATTGCGATCTCTTATTCAGCGCTTAGACAACATTTATGAGCTACAGTATACCTATCAGCGAACCCTCAGTAAGCCAGGTGCTTCTACTGCAACAAAGGTATGTTGATCGGTGTGGTTTGGTTGGGATGTGAGTTTTAGCCTTTCATTGCATCTTACAACTTGTAGGATCAGCGAATCAAGGAGCTTGCGCCCATACGTTTGGAGACGGCCCTGGCTTCCTGCCAGGCGGACCTCTATTCCTCAGGTATAGCCCAGTTGGCTGGCCAGACGGTGGGAAAACTTATGCTTGCTGAAGCCATTCATCAATACAGGAATGTAGCTCCTGATGTCCCTGACTCTGAATAAATCCCAGGCAAACTGTAATCATGTGATTCGGGAATGGGTCATTTGGGAATGTATATCCTATGTCTCACTTGAGTTCTTTTTCATAATTTGGGCTCTTACGTAGCTTATTCCGGTTTTTATCCTGTACCGTGAAGCTACCCTCAGTACCAAATTCTTTTTATTGAAGAACTTGGCCTGTTATGAGTAGCTGTGAATGTACTCATTGTGGTCTGAGTTACGGGGATTGATTCTCGAATCTGGAACCTCCTCGATTTCGCCTTATGCTCCCCTTTCCTTCTAGTTATGGTGGGTATTTCATGCTTCTTTTTGTCCATCAAACTTCATCATTAAGACCTCGTCTTGTTTTATCGAATCTTGAGAAGGAATTTGATTTAATTTGACTATCCTGGTGAATAACCCAACTTGTGCTTTAAGCATAAACTATCCTCTGACCTGAATGAGTCGTTATGTATTCTTGCTCTGTATACGCACTTACCACCGTTAACAATTTCAGAACCCTTAGCTTGTCACAATGCTAGTCTAGTATCGTGAATTTGTGACTTGCTTTAAGGTATTTTGAGTTCCTCATAGACGTGATTTCAAACACCTTAGAGCACTGTCGTAATTCACTTGACCCATCGGGTGATACTGTTTTGAGAAATCCACACCGTGCTATAAACAACTTTACAAGCAATGCTCTTTTCACGGCAACTTAACCAATCATGAGATGAAGATACCTCCTGCATTGAAACACTTCCCTTTTGCGCTACTCTCAGTGATCCACTACATCGGAATTTGCGCGGATTTTATTCTGTATGCATGCCAGGTTTGTTTGTCTCCACTCTTCCATGTTATGAGAAACTTCACTTAGCAGGTTCTTTGGAATCATTTTAGCATTCTTAAAAAGATATGCTCGCTCACGAGTTAACGACTTAATGCCTTTCTAGTATTTGTGTCTTACACCATCGATGCTTGAGAGATGAGTACGCAGGCGTGAACTGAAAAGCAACTTCCTTCAAGCTCTGTTGATGGCTTGCGCTCAGCCGCCAACCGATCATTTAATCTTCCAGTTGTACTTAATACCTTAGAATATGTGCGATAGTAAAGAGATCATTTTGTTAACACGAAGAAGGAGCCATCGGTACAGAAGTAAAAACATCAAGAGTACAGCAATTAATGTGAAGCAGAACTGAGAGGATTTGTGGTGATGTGTGTGTGTGTGTGTATTTTTGTGACCCATTTGTACAGTCTGTGTTTTTGCGTTTCACTCGACATACGCGCGTCCAAGGAGTCATGGTTTACAAAATATCAGTGCTACTTAACATGATACGCTACTTTTTGGCTATGACGTCTAGCAGGCAGGTAGACGACGATGCACAATGTTGACCTGACTAGGAATGGTTGCAACACCGAGGTGCACGCAGTTCTGCGTTTCCAAGGCATCCGTGGGGTGCTTTGAGAGAGAGGGATGAAGTGTGCTAGTCCGCAATCGAACAAAGTCGTCAGTGCAAGGAGCCTCGCCACCCACTGCCCGCTTCCATGGGTTGTCTTCGCTGAATTCACAGGGTACTAAAGAAGATAATCTTGAATAGATTTGCGCTTCAACTATGTGCGACTTTTACCCTTATTAGATCTATAGAAGGCTTGGATAGTTAATCCTAGTAAGGTTTAGTCAAGCCCTGTTTTCCTCCTCAAGGCTAGGGAGAAGACTCACGTTGTACGAGATTAATGACAGGTGGGGGTTGTGATTGAGATCGCAGATCCTCATCGCTGGCCCCTTGGCCAGAGTCTGATGCGTGTTCGGCTAGCCGGACCTCCATTTCTGCTTTCCTACCCATTGTCGGCTGAAATGTGGTGGTAGTGGAGGTGGCTGACACGATAGTTGTGGGGGCGAAAGGGTTGCTTGCTGTCACTACGCTTGTTCCGGAGGAGTGCAAACACACAGCCGGTAGGAGGGTCACAGGTAGCGCAATATGTGACGAGTTAACGCTCTGAAAGTTCTGTGGGAAAAATGAGTAGGTAAACATGATCATTTCTTTCTCTTGCTCACTTGACTAATGCGTTAAGTGCTGACTCACCGTTTCCGGAGGGAGTGTGACAGCAGTCCATTGGCTGGGCGATCTGACTTCGTGCGAAGTCTCCTCGATTTCACGCAGAGGAGTCATCAACACACTCGCAGTGGAAGTGACAGTGCAGAGGTTTTCCTGTTTGAGACTCAGGGGACTTCCACATCTCTCAAATCGATCCCGTGGCAGAGAGTTGTACTTATTCCACATTTGGGGCGTCCTGTTGGTAGCCTAAGCAAGGGAGGAGGAATGCAAGAACGCGTGCTGCATTTTTATCCAACTGACGAATGCACTCATCACGGCATTTACTTCTTCACTGACTGAGCTGACAGCGTCAGTATTGAGAACACGGAAGATGCCGCCTTTGCCGTCGCTACCCATCCATCCATCGGGATCGACGACGTCGACAGGTGAAACGGGCGGACCGTAGCCATAGTCATGATTACCGGGCACGATTCCGCTGCCGAAGTTGTCCACTGAGGTGTTATCGATGAGGCGTGTCTCTTGCAACGAGATGATGCCGCCATTTGCTGTGCTGTGAGTCTGCAGAGTGGCAACGTTTACCGTTCCACCTGAAGACATCCGATGCTGACTGAGGAATCGGGGAGGTTGATGAGAAGACGATCTGACAAGACACCAACGATTGACATCAGTACGTATATGTAATGTTTAGTCTTTTAGCTATCAATTTATAAAAGTACCCTGTACTTAATGATCAAGGACGGAAGAAAGTATGTATATACATTACCTGCAGGGTTTGCACATGCAGATCATCGCAGCAATGAAAATAACAGCAAGAATAACTGAGATTGAGATGAGACCGACGAGAATGAGGACATTTTTCCTCTCGCCCAGTTTGAAGGGGAAAAGATTGGCTAACACACCACCCTCACCACCACTGCCTTCAGAGGTGGCGGTGAAACTAGAACTCGCACCACCCCCGTCTAGCGAACGTGGGGGAATGTCCTCCACTGATACCAATAGAACCTACAAGGGACGATAATGCTACTTAGAGTTATTTGAGTAGCAAACTTGAATGCCTTTAGAGCATTATTATGTTACCAAAACTGCAAAAATCCATGGGAAACAAAGCCTACCTTGCTTTCCGACCTTGACATGCTTGCTCCCTGATCGTTGGCCGAGACAACAAAGAAATGAGGTCCAAGATCATCTTCCTGCAGGGTTCGCTTAAGCCAAACCTCTCCAGTGTTACCGTCGACACTGAGAAAATCACCGACAGCACGATTCAGACGAACACGCGAATGTGTATGCCGTCGTAGTCCGTACACCAGCCTACCGTTTGCATCCTCGTCCGGATCAGTGGCCTCCAGTCGCGTGATCAACTGGCCATTCGTTTCGTGCAGAGAGATGCGTAAAGATGGCTCATAGCCATTACCGCTACCTGTAGCCTCTCCGTCGCCCGCGGTAACTGAAGCGCCCTTGGCTAACTTAGTAGAGCTCGCACTAGCATCTGCAACCATCTCAGTGGATTCCCGTTTTCGGAGGTAGGCCGGAGGAGTGTCGGGCAACCGGTCCTCTGATTGAGAAGTGAGACAGGAGAGGTTAACTACAGATTGAGCTTCACTTTTTGCTTCACTGGTACCGCGAAACTGCTTCAGACTTACCAAGAGAGTAAAGCCGGTCAGGTAAGACAAAGTGTGGATCGTTATCATTCTCATCCAACACTATGATGCAGATGGTTTCTGTTGAGGAGAGAACATTTGGATGTCCACGATCTCGTACTTCCACCAGTAACTCGTAGGTTGCCTGTGAGGTGAACCGGAAAGCCCAATTTATCTTCATTCAACGTTCTATTTATATCTGGCCAACCGACTAGCCACGCACCACCATAATCATACATTATCCTCTACGAGGGAAAGGTGAAATACTTGAGTACGTCAGTAGATCTTAACAGAAGAATCGCTTCCTTAGTAATGCCTCTTGACAGCGCCAAACAACAAAAAAACGTTTGCACTAGCATCTTTTTCCTTCTTCCCAATTACCAGGCTCCCTTTCGATGTCACAAGCCTAAGACGTAAAAAATACTCAAAGATTTTATCCAGTTTATGAGTTTAATAACTAATGCGATCAGCACAAGTCGTGTCCCTCCAGGAGTAGTAATTTTATCATCGTTTTGCCGCAGCCGCTCCTTCAATGCTAGATGCAATCGCAACTACCAGTCTCCACACCACATCCAAACTGGAAGGATAAAAAAAGTGAGTAATTGGAAAATGTACAACGCTGGCATCCTGCTGATTTTAAGTTGAAGCATCTGTAGCCCTCCTGCATGCGATCACAGCTTCCTCAAAAGGTAGAGTGGGAATAGAAGTAGTCAGTGAATCAGGCTCGGTATAGAGGTTATTCGAATTTCGTGAAAGGCAGGCATTTGATGCAATTGGGGACCCTTTGAACAGTTGCGCATCATGTCAGGATCAGACAGTTCCCTGTTCGACACCAGACATGAGTTAATCAAAGGTTTTTTTCAAAGAGAATAACGATAAGTCTTATCAGTAACGCGCACGTAGCATTGAGATGCAGAACTAGGGAAACTCACTATGCTGCGAAAACCAAAACAGTAGAAAAGTAGCCAACCTTTTGCTCCCGATCGAGAGGTAGGGCAGTAAAGAGGGATCCATTGGACCTCAACTCAAAGTGTGGAGTGGTGGAAAGTTTCTTTGGAAGTCGAAAAACCAGTTCACCGTTTCGTCCAATGTCAGCATCAGTGGCTATGAGATCGCCGACAAAAGTCCCAACAGGCGAATTTTCCCACACCACCAGAGGGGTTGGAACCTTGTCACACGGCAGCAAATGAGGTTGATTGTCATTTTGATCGAGAATTGTCACATTTAGCAGAGCCGATCCAGTAAGTCTTTGAGGTCCGTTGTCGGAGGCAATGATGGTGACTTGATATGAGTCGCGTTTCTCACGGTCAAATTCGATGGCTGCAGTCACCCAACCAGACACTGGGTCGACATGAAAGTTGGCACGATCGAGGAGAGAATAAGTGATCTCCGCATTTTCTCCATCGTCGGGATCGTGAGCCTGCACCTGGAACATAAGGCAAGCAAAGGCTCATTTGCTCGTGAGAAAGAAAATCAGTCTCCAAGGTTGAAAAGGAGTTTCTTTTCAGTTCTTTTGTATTTTGCCTCCGCCTTCTGTCTCCCCTTATAATTCCAAATTCTAGTCGAGCAATTTTCCGCTTTTTTTCACTACCACCGCCCATCACAATGAAAGTGAATGACTTTTTGGTTTTTCTATCAACGAAATGCCGACCGTACCGTATAATTCGCTGGGCTTTGAGCGCACTGAGAGTGGATGCTCTTGCATACCCTTTGTCCAACTTCGAGGAGGAGTAGATTTTTTGAACATGATTGCACCGGTCTCTTTTGAATACTGGCTTCATCCTCTCAATTCATATGCCCCCTTCAACGGCTACTCCTCCCTGTTTGGTCAGAATTCCCATTAGTACGGCTTATGATTCTTATAGCAGTTGTGCATGAACACTTTAGTCATTATGATTTGGTGAAAAGTTCTAATAACCTTTAACTCACTTGAACTATTTTTGCGCCAATGTGATTGTTCTCGGTTACAGCAACGTGGTAGACAGGTCGGTGGAAAGTGGGCGCATTGTCATTGACATCACGAATAGTGAGGGTGGCAGTGAGGGTTGAAGTAAGGCGTCGAGCGGTGGTGCTGGATGTATAGGTAGTGGATGAGGAGTGAATTATTTCATTAGCATCCCAACAAATGAGGCGAATCAGTGCCACTCCACCGGCACTGGCATCGGGACCTTCACGATCCAGTTCGAGGCGAGTTTGAAGATCATACAGACCTGCTGAGGGGTGGGCCTGTGGATCAGGAGTGAACAGTAGGACCTGTCGGTGGACCCACTCGTCCGGCTCCTTGCAGCGCACCACTCCGTTCACCTCTACGCTGTCCGGATCGTATACGCGCACCTGCACACGCATCGTACAACATGGAGTTGGTAAAGTGGAAGCAAGAGGGGACTACGGTGTCATGAGTTTGAGAGGTCAATAGGGATCTAATTAAGCGAACGGAAACACCACTAGCAAAGGTGCTGCACTACTGAGGATGGGTCTGCTTTTAAGGACAATTAAGGGCGTTCGATTCTACTCCTGGTGGATGGCAGTCTCTGAACCGTGTCGATATTTTTCTCACGATTGACGACAGTCTGCTGGAATTCCTTGAGCCAATCCAGAGGATAATTCTTTTAAAATATTTTTAACTGATACGGATCATCGTCTATTTGCAGAGCTCTCTTGGCCAATTGCAAGTGGACTGGGCACCTTTGAAGAGAATGGAAAGATTGCACCAGTTGAACGCCTCTTTTATCCAACTTCACTTACACATTGACAGGCAGCATGCATCCTTGGCAGCTTAAAAGGGACCAGAGTGAAGGAAACAAGAACGAAAAATAAAAGAACGAGAATGATATAAAACGTCCTTCAAACTAATCCACTCCAGCTTTTTATTCCTTAGACTCGCCTTGACAAGTGGCAGGTGCATGGGCATGCCTGCATTCAAAAACTTACAAGGGCTCGATAATATTTTGCACAAAATGCATGTCTGAGTATTCCTTCATGCCAAAGCAGTGGAAGAGAGTGTGTGGGTTTTCCTTCAGTCTTTTTTTTTTCATTTTTCTTATGCAAATCCTACCTACCGGTAGATATATCTTGTCAACCCACCTGTAGGTAGCATCTAGGCATGAAGGAGGAATACTCATGCGAGAAATTAAATACATGGTTCGTTTCCTTTGGGCAGGGGAGAGAGAGAGAGAGAGAGAGATGGAGTCTAGTTGATTAACTTTCACTGCTCATCCTTCAGGGTGGGCTTGTTTTCTTGTCAGGGTGTACACCTTCATCCCCACTCCATAATTGAGAAGGGGTATTAGCATTTGCGTTTTCAGCCCTCCAAGGTTGTTATTTACTTCCAAAGTTGTTCGATTCATGCAAATGTTTAATTAGCACTTATGGCTGGATAAGGAGATGCAACAAAAGTACGGAGTGGGGAAGACAGACATTTTTATGAGATAGTGGATGCCAGTGCCATCGGTGTAGTCAAGCTTTTTTGCCTCCTTTTGATCTTCCATCCTTGAGGGGGAAAATGGACTATACTGCCCTCCTTCATTCCTTAACTCAGTATTTATCCAATTCCGTCTGCCAGCCAAAAACGTCACAAAAATAAGACATTCAGCTTCCTGATAAACCGGTCATTGCAACTTTGGAGGTCGTTTTAAAGACCGTATGAGAAACACTAATGACAAGCTATTAACAACGTGGAGAACAACTGCAATTGCGCATTACCTGTCCAATGGATCGCTTGGCTGAGGTGCCTTCCTCAGCCACAAGATGTATGGGATTAATTTCGAATCGTGGAGCCTCGTCATTGACATCGGCCACGGTGACATGGAGTGTGGTTTCAGCGCTGAAATCCCCATCTGTTACGCTGACAGGGAGGATGTAGCTTTGGCAGGATTCAAAATCAAGGCCTCGCCGTAGCACCACACGTCCGCCCTTCTCCACCTCGAATATCAACGCCACCGCCTGTTGTCCTCCGCCAGGTGCCTCCACCAACGAGTAGTCAAGTTGAGCATTTCTGTCCTCGTCGTGAGCTTTGAGCTGACCAGGGATTAAAGTCAAACAGCAATTAATCTCCTTCTAACTTAACAAAGTGTTGTACTTCTTAAATAGGTATTTTTTAAGGCAATATCTCATCCTATTCCTGTTTAAGCACCTCTTTTAAAGGCTTCTGCCCTTTTCTTTGTGATGAAGAACAGGTGGATGAATAAATGAAGAGCCCCAACTTCCCATGACTATTTTGGGCAAGGGGTGCACTCATTAATTCACTTCTCACACGCGCATTATGGATGGACGTCAAATTACACTTGGATACTCTCTTGGGATATCGTTTCCGCCATTCACTCGACCCCCCTCCATCTATTTGTGGTACCGAGCTTCCATTCATTTTCCCATTTCAAAAAAAAAAAAATTTTTATTTGCGTAAGTGAATTCCCACCCTTCTAAGGTTCCTATGGTAAAACACTCAGACATCCACATCTGAATTGACCACCCTACATCTCCAAGAAAGTAGTGGAATTGTAAAGAGACAAGTCTGTAAAGATGATGCAGTGCCATTTGATGGTGGGCTTTGCCTCTCGCACACAACGAAGACGCACAACTCGAAGGCCCTGGTGTCAGGTTTTATGCACATAGCACCTTTAACCCCATCACACCACGTCACAGTACTGTCAGGATCGGCTAGTGAGCAAAGGGGCATCTAACCACATAAAAGTCCGGTAAAAACACGATCCAAAAGGCAAGACCATTCTGTATGGGGAGAAAGGTAAAAACGAAAGTTGACTTGAACATCACCACAAGGCACAAAGAAGAGGACAAGTAATTTCGATGGGTAACGAGTGACGAGGCGGTTTTGCTTCACTGACACATCGTTTTCGATCAAGTCAACTTTCTAGGTGGTAGTTAAGTGATGGGATAAAAATGAGGAAATGTCGTGGAGGACTGTTTGCCGAGATAAATGCAGTTTCAAACTTGCCTACTCCCACTGTACGGGTAGACACCAAAAAGGTAGACAGCTTTCCATGCAAAAGGTGAATAGAATTGGCCAGTCGGTGGTATCTCCACCATTCAAAAGTGAGGATCATCTCCACTACAGCAGTGTTCGTGGCGCCTCTAATACACCTCGACACTGTTGCGCATAATGCGCATCCTCTATGATAATATGCACGGAGTTTTATAAGCGCCTGTAAGCGGAGCGAGCGATAATGGACCGGCAGAGGATAGAAAAGCACCGCTTTGTCTCCCTCTCTCTCTCTCTACCGCTCTCTCCCCATTTTCCCCGCCGGTGGCAACGCCTTCTGCGCTACAACCCCTCTCTCTCCTCTTTTAATGGCCCATCTCCCCTACCTCCATAGCCCCACCCTGCCATTTTGGGAGCGTTTGATGATGGATCGCCAATGTTCTGTCCATCAGCTTTACCAACTACTATTAATGCTGTTTAAACCTGCCATTTTGAGCACCGGGATCTTGCATGTTGCTTTATTTGCGCACAATTCTTAGCCAAATGTAATCTTACAAAGAAAGTCAGTCTCAATTAACTGTTAAATATGGAAGGATTTAGAAAATAATATATTTCCAAGCTCAGCCACAAGAGGTGGCCTTCTAGGCTTCAACAACACTCCCTAGCGCAGTCCAAGTGATTAAATTTTCACCTCCATAGTAAACAGACAGTCTTCCGCTTTGATGGAGCAAAGAACGACACTTAGCTATCGCCGGTTTGCCACACAACTTGATGTTAGGTTATACGTGCTACAAGAAACTGGTCATAGTGACCTCCGCAGTGGAGTTTGACTGAAGTGAATTGAACTGAGGTGATGAGTGAGTGGATCGGTGCCTTGAAAGCTCACCAGCACTGTATGGGCGACAATTCACAGCACACACCGCATCGCCTAAAGTGACAGTAACCATGGTCACAAAACACCTTGTCTTCCTTAGGCCCACCCCTCCCTCCTCCCACATGTCTTTAGTTGCTCACCCTGGAATATGTATTTATTTACCCAAAAGACAAAAAACAAACATCACCGCCTTGAGGACACGATAGAGTCGAGCGGACCTCCCATCCAAACCCTTTCACCATAAGCCGCCTCCCACTAATTCCTCCACTCCACTGTGCTGACACCTTTGACTTGGCAACTGGGGCGTGCAAAATGTCGCTGATGTTTCGAGGATGGCAAAAAACATTCCCATGTCATCATGATCGTCTGATGATAAGGTGCAGTAGGGTACAAATCTCGAGATCTACAACTATTTAATAGTCATTGTTAAATAAAACGTGTGTGGATTATTTCTCATTAAAATTTGCACTTGGAATGCAATATCATGACAAAGGAGACTAAAAGCATTGATGCGCTACAATGGAATGACTGACTACTTCAAGAATTTAACTGTGCCCCAATAGCGCTTTTAAGTGTAGGTTGGAAGAGAAAGATGGTTTTGGATCATTCGGCACAAACATCTTCTGTTAATTCGACCTACCAAAGTGCTTCGCAGTTGTTATAAAAATTGTCAATTTGAGTGGCATGAAGAGCGTTGAGAAAGTGACCTTTTCTTATTACTATTATGCTTATTTGAAAGGTGTTTCAGTTCTGAACAGTCATCCTTTTTTTCTCATGTCTGAACACTCTAACCTGCCATGTAAAATGGTAACAAATCGTTGAAAGGAAGTTGTCCAGTAAAAAGACAACTACAGACACCACAAATAAACCACATTGCATACTTCACGGAATCCAAACTTAACAACTGCGCATAAGTAGCCTTACGGGAAGACCATCTTTCGAGTCCCCGAATCCTTGAGCCCGAGTCAAAAGGGATTAATTCTGAAGCAATCGTCACCTGTCCCAAGCATTCCACATGCATACTTTGTACAATGGAAGAAGTTCTGCTGCAGGGTTTAGTGAATCAAACCCTTCTCCAACCCTCTTTAAAGCCTTTCCACTTGCCTTTGTGTTAGTCCAGTAAAAGGATTTAAAGGCCTGCAAAATGTGAGTGTTTCACTGGTTGGAGCTAATGTCAGAGAAGAGGTCATCACTGAGAGTGTTTTTATTTTTTTTTTAAGAAAACCACTAAAGCTTATTGCGTGTTTTCATGAAATTTTGGACAATGTGTAACTCTTCACATTTTGCTCTTACCACTGCAGTACTTGCAAAGCCTTGCCTCTGTACTAAAACCTGATCTATTGGGGTGTGTGTGTGTGTAAAGGGTGGTTGGTTTGGCACTTTAAAGAGTCCCTTGAAACTACCCTCAACAAGGGCCTAAGAGTACATGATGACCAAAAAAAAGGGGAGGGGGAAGTAATACTTTACAGAGGCTTATCATCGAAAAGAATGAAGCAGGAGAGCAGGTTCTTGAGTGAAAACAAATTGAAAGTCACTTAGAAGAGCATTTTATCAATACTTTACCGCAAACGGAAAGTCCTCATTTCACAAAATTTCGCATACTCAATTACTAGCCTAACTTTCCTTATAAATTGAGAAAAAGTAATGCTAGTAGTGTGAAAGCACAGCGATCGACCACCTATTGGTAGAGACGCGCGTGCCGCTGTGGGCGGTTATTGGATGGTGAGTGCAGGTCGCACGCACCCACCGGCGGGGCAGCAGAGGTCGACATGTGTTTATTGAACGATCACATGGTGGTAGATGCAGAATTACGTCGCAACGCGGAAACCATGACGAAGGAGGCGCGGGGGGGAGGGAGCGAGAAGTTAGGCCAGGGTGGGAGTAGGGGGTTAGTGGAGGTCAAGGAAATGCACTAACGCATGAGTGACGCATCCAGCGCTCGGGGCAGCGACACTCGCAAAATACGTAGCACTGGAGGCTAATTGGCCGAACCGATTTCTGCTGTCATCTTACGACTGCACTGGCCTCAAAGTTACGGGCGAGGATTTGCTCTCTCCATTCTGTGCACGCTGTATTTTTTCACAAAAATTCAAAGGCAAAATAACTAACCTCTTTAATATTTAGGGGTAAAATAATCGCTTAGATTAATCGCAGACGAAAGTTGCATTACTCAATTAAATCGCTTTGCGGATCTCAAAGGACTCCATTAATGGTTGTGTCAAGAATTAACCCCTCGGTATTTCGACAGTTCGGGTGCATTTTGCGTAGGATATTCCAACCGAAAAATAATTATAATTAGTAAACTAACTAATCAGCAGTAATGGTAAAAGACTCGAAAGGTATTTGGAATTCGGAATTTGCTCTATGGATAGGAAATGTAGGAAATGCTAAGCCACTGCGATTTTTATTGCAAGAGGATTAGCTCATCAGGTCTAACAAAAAACGTTATTCCACTTGACAAAAACTAAGATCACTTGCCATTAACAGTGCCTTCTTGGACAAAAAAGTCACCTTTTTAGCATACATTACAACTCTCCCCGAGGCGTTTCAAAAGTTTGCTTAACAATTTGCGTGGAAAAGGATCACCTCTGCTGCCAACTTCCAAAAAGGACCGCATAAATGGAAGACCGTCAGATAGGTCACTGCGGTTTGCCTGATAAAGGTAAAACTCCTGCAGAACACAACCAATGCCGCATTCCAAAAAAGGGTAGAGTAGAGAACGTGGACTCAATCACCTCCATTTCCATCTCTCGGTGCGTCCACCTCACTTTTGCTTCACAAATGGTCATTATGTTTACCATATGACCACATGATGGGGTAGCGCTAATGCCAGGATCTTGCAGATGTGTCAACAGAGAAGCACGAAACCCTATTTCGCTCCTGTTGAGGAAACAAATGTTCTCGCGAGGGAGCCTAAGGGTTTGAAATGGGAATCCCTTTGAAAACACATTGATGACCTCCGTTCGACTAATCACGAGTAAATCACGCAGAGAATTGGTACATTTTGCCAAGTAGGTGGAAATTAGTAATTTGTTACACTCAGTAGATGTATAAAGTTTTAATCGTGTCCTTTTTTCACTCATCACAAAGCATTCAACAAAGGGTTCGAAATTGTCGACCGTGCTGTAAAAGTGAGGAACAAATTCGCAGCGTTCCAAGTTCAATGTCAGCGATTGATGCCTATCATTGGAGGCCGTCTGGCGGCCTTCCTCTTTGGCGGTGCTGTATTATCGAGCATGAAAGTTTGGACGAAACGTTATCTCTTTGTCCTTCATTCACTACTGGCTGGAATGGAGAGGGACAGAGAGAATGTGACAAAGCATTTGCACCAAGGAAAAGTTAACTTTTGGCGGTTTAGAGGAGAGTAAAACAGAGGAGACTGGGTTACATCAGGCCCAAATGGCATTTCACGACATGATGAGGTGAAGCTTTGCGTGTTGATTAGGCTGCGACACTTCTACCTATGCTTCACCGAGCACGTACGTAAACAATACCAATTCGTAACGCATCACTGCGACAAAGTGCACGGAAAACCGTCAAAATGCCTGTCAACCATTTGTAGACATTTTTTTCCCTTTGAGTTAGGGACTGGTAATCAAAATTTGGACTACTTTAATGCATTTTACACTTGTTGTTGTTTTTGCTTTAGTTAATTTCACATCATATTAGCATTAACTGTACAAATAGCAACAAAAAATGCAGCATAATTGCGTCAGGTCTTGTCGATCGATAAATGAAAAGCTATTAATTTCCTCATGATTAGACATTTAAAAACACCTAGTTGATGGTGTTAGATGGAATTTTGTAATATTTTTCTCCATTGCCATGACTACATTGAGGTTTGGCATTTATGTTATTGCACTCTGAACATGCGAGATTGTGATTCGCCACAGGCTGTTTTCGTTTGGCAGTCGGGCCCTCCGGCAATGCTCGTAGCCCTCTAGTCCTTTTCTACGTTAATTATAAGCCTACTTTCCTTACTAGCATGGCTTACTGCTTCCTTTGGGAGGACAATTTTTAAATGCATCGTGAAATCCGAGTTGGCGTCGCAAGATCAGGTGAGGTGCATATAGGTTTTAGTAGTTATAATAAGTTATTAAAGTCCGAAATAATAACTAAATTGACTGTGTGTAGCGCTAGTATTCTTTATGAGCTACTTATTGGGGTCTTGACCTTAATAATCCATTCTGTGCCGGCACGAAAGTCGGCTAATATCTGATTGGTTGGAACCCAAGCAGATGACCAATCACAACGCAGAGGGAGGACACATTTAGACAACAATTACTATTTAAAAGCTATAGCAAAAAAAATTGAAGAAACACTGTAAAAAGATTTGTTAACAGTCATATTTAATACCCTCATAAGCATTCGATAAATTAAAGATGTGCAATGACGATTGGTAACTTTGACAGTGGAAAAGCAATCGAAGGTTATTAGGTTGTGATATTCGCTTTCTAGTTGCTTTTAAGGACCCGCTACGTCGACTATTTTTGAGAAATCATAAGAGCATAATAAATATATCTTAGTTCGAAGTCAAGTTCGTTTGTGATGGCACACCACTAGTTTGGATGTGAAAACCAGCGAGAGAAGCAGAAAATGGTGATGGTCCGGAAATTTTATACTTTCCACTTCCACCAGTTTTCCTACTGTAAATTCACATAAAAAGTTGGGAAGGGATTTTGAGCATGAGGAGTTAGTGTGATTGGAACGTTCGAACAAACAACCCATAAACAACCTAAATGTCACAAGAACCTGTGAAATAATCAGCAAACGCGTATGAACTATAACTCATCAATGCTAGTGTAAATATGGTACCGATGGCACAAGTTGAACCATTTATTGTTTATTTTCATAAGGGATCGCCACACTTAACTGGGTGATAAACAAATCTCAGGACGCGCAACTTGTGGTAGCCAGATTACCATTGTCTAGTGGGCTGACTTTAGAAGAGTTAAACACCAAATTACTTTGCCTCTGATGTTTAGCGGAAGCCACTCAAATAGCATAAAAGCAGTTGGCCTTTTGCACATCGCGGAAGCTTTACAACCCCGTAAAAACGATTTGCGTTAATGGTTGGTCATTTGTCAACCAAATTATTTATTAGTTACTGCAGGTGTAAAAATATTCCGTACTTGTCTTTACTTACGTCCATTACTCACAACCTCATCATATGGCCCACCAACTATATATCACAAACGGACACAGGCACGGGACCTCACAGGTGGGGAGGTCTACCACCCCACCACTCCGTCCGGGCATATGTGGCCCCGAGTAGGCGGGAAGTGCGTCCACACTCAGCCATCAAAATGAGGGTAAACATACTCTAATGGCATACCTGAAAGATAGTTGTCCCAAGCAAAGTATCCTCAGGCACAGTTACGTTGTAGATGGACTTCTCAAAGTAAGGCTCGTTGTCATTCATGTCCACCACATAAATCTCCACTTGCAGGCGAGACTCCAATTGCTCAGAGCTCCTGTCTCCCATGTACATGCTGGGAAAGTGTGGACGCCTGGAGGGGTTGAAGGCTAAGAGGGTCATGTTGAAGTATTCCTGCGTCTCAGCATCTAGGTCTTTTAGCAAGACCAGGGTTGGGGTTTCACTAAAATCATAAACTTGCATTTAAAAATAAGGTTGATGAAATGTGTAATAAGCCGTCAAGGGGGTGCTGTAGGGCATTCTAGGCCAAACACCGTTAATCAACACACAAATCACCTGGCAGCGAGCAATGAGAGCTTAGATGTACCTACGAGGAATCTAAGTGACACCACACCCAACGCTCATTTGTAAGACATTTGAGTGGAGTCAGCATCTCCAGGAGGCCAAGCCTTGAGCCTATTCATCCGTGGCATTCTCGGTTGCGAGGATACTTTGCAGAGAGCATAAAGTTCCATTTTCCAGATGCGTTACAAGCTCTCCTATAGAAAACGGTGAATGTAGACGCTTGACGCCTTGGCGCATGTTCCACGTTGTAGCTTTTGAAGCGGCCATTCTTTCCTTTTTTATAAGTTTACCTAAACACTTTAGATAAATGCCTTTGATGGTTATCGTAAAAGACCAATACTTCTGATGCCCCTCTCTACAAATTGTCTATGATATTTTAATGCTCATTTTATGAGCTTATGATCGATCAAGGATTATCTCTTCAAAGGACAACAGTGGTGTTGCGTCACCTGCTGCTGACTTCGAAGTGAAAGATCTCCTCAGCAGCAGGAGAATGGTGCTCAAGAGTGTAGCGGATGAGTCGATGCTCAGGAAGTAAGTCAATGTCATGCGCCTTGGGTAGATCAATCTTCTTGCCTTTACGGTAAAGGGCTTCGCGTAAATGTCGTTTCCACACCTTCTGGTTGTCAAACCGAGGCGGGTTGTCGTCCACATCGATGATCTCCACAGTCACTTTTGAGACGCCCTGGAGGCTGCGGTCTGGGAAGATGGCATTGATGTCCAAATGAACTGAGAGCTCGCCCGTTGAAGGTGTACAGGTGATCATATCTGTGAGGTCTCCATTTGGACCTAAGACGTACAGATATATCCAGTAACATGGAGAAGAGATAAAATTTTGGTGGACAATTTATTATGTTGACACTACCACACCCATTAGTTCCTTTGCTTTGTTGGGATAAACCTACTTCCCTAACTCATGCATTTTGAGCGGCCTTAAAGGACAAAGCAAACACCAATTTGGAGAAAATCTTGTTGTAGCCATGGTATGGGAACGACAACTCTCTATTTTGCTGCTTGAACACAATGTATAAAATTACAGGAGGAAGGCACTTGCTGTAAAGGGCTGTGAGCACTTTTTACAGAAGGTAAACAATTGTTTAGCGTCTATGCTTGACAAGTAAGGCAAGTGAAAGTCCTGCTTACTAAGTGGAATGAAGTAAATTCGAAATGAAGTCACTTAAAACGACACCTTCGCTTGTGATACTGACCGAATGCCCCCACCAAGCGAGTGACGCACAGATTACACGCCTCGATTCTGACAAATTGTGTAAGTGATCAGACAGATTCCAAGCATAAGCTTTTTCCAGTTAAAAATGATGCTTAGAGCTTGACTAAAAAGAGAAAAGAACCATGAAGATGTGATGCATTTGACCATGCTGACTTTTTCACCTTCCTGTTCTCCTGCTCAGGACCAAAACAGCACCACCTTTCTTTCTTTTAAAAATGTAAATTAAAGAGTTTGGTTAAGCTGCCTCATGAAAATGCAGTAAATACAGGCGCACCACCAGTGGAAGGGTGATACAACATATTTTGAGGCAATAAATGGTGAACACAAAAATGTAGGACTATCAGTTTGTTGTTATTCAGCAAGCAATTGGACAACAAAGGACGTAGCTTACTTCTTCTGCAGTGAAGAGGCCACAGAGGAGTACTGTAATATCTAAAGCTTATTTCCTCGTTTTGTTAGCAAAAAAACATAATAAATTTTACCGGATCATGTGAACTATTAGCATCACTACCACGTCTGCGATAGGTGAGGTGAAAGACGTGCGACAGTTGGTGGAACTAAAGGCTTCTGATCTGGGGATTGTCATGGGATTCAAGATCAAGAGGAAATGACACAATTACATTAACATCTTCTTTGGAATGAAAAATTTGTGACACCTAAGCTTTTCCTTCTGTGGATCCGTCCAATGTTGTTGCCGATGCAAATGTTTACGAAACAGCATTGCTAAAACCGAGTTTGGTGTTTCACCATGACAGATTAACTACAATAAGATTTTTTTGTATCGTTTTTCGACACATTTTCCTTCCTCAAAGTCTGTACCGTTGACAGATGCAGTGGCAGCCACCGTGGAGACTCGCATCTACAATATAGCATTTGCGGCAGTAGAATAAAGCGAATATTTTGGGATCAGTAACAATATTGTGCAACACGTTTTCATCCATTTGCAGCTGGACTCGGTTTCCATCACTTTCACTACCTTACAATAGTTGCGCATGTGAAAGTGAAGAGCAGCACACATTGTTGTTTGCAACAGGAAATGGATTTAAGGACTTTACTAGACTTTAGGGTCCACTAAGCCAGGGTGACTGTTATTTTTAACTGATGCTCGATCTGCTTCATTACGCAAATCACAACGACTTTCATACGAAATGGCGGTCATAATCTCACAGAGTATTTCCAACATCCGGTTTCACTTTACACTTTCGAGAGGAACGATGGCAAGAGGAGGTCAAAAATGCATTGACTTCTACACATTACTGTGCGCCCCGATGTAACGGACTCTGCCGACGCTGGTTCCTCCTCCTTTACTGAAGCAGGAGAGGCAAAGTTGACAGAACTAAGAACTTAAACAAAAATGCCGATTTGACACCAACTGAGAGGATTACACCGCCTTCAGGACCTCAACAAAATGCCAGTGAGGCGTCCGTTTAAAAAAACAAGAAGTATTTTAAGCAAAGGTGATTTCTTATTTATAGAATCAAAAAGTCAAATGGGAGGCGTTGAACTGCACAAATGCGTTATGGTGGTCTAGACAGACCATTGGTCCAGCCAATGACCGCTTAGCCGAAACCGCACATAAATTAATGCCTCTGATGTGTGCGTGCGTGCAGGCTTGCTTATCAGGGACAGGCACACGCACGCATGCCCGAACTAGGGCACACATTAAACAACCCCCTTCTTCTCTCTCTCCCTCACCCCGATGCGTGCAATTAGCGCGCAGCTCCTCTCTGCCGCATTGTGATTGGTCTCCGATCGATAATTTACTCACTAATCGAACGGGTTGGGCTTCTCCTCCCCCCTTTGCACTTTCTAGTCATCTCTTTTTTGCCAGAAGCCACCACTCCAAGGTGAGGATGGTAGTGCGCAACGAATTGTGGATGGAATTGGACAAGCCAAACTATCAAAATTCTCACGACTTATGCGACAGCGTCGAGCAGATTACGGCGTTGCCTAGACAACGGCTTTTAATTTGGGCGTGACCATTGCAGAGAGTACAAGGAATTAAAAGGGAGAGAGGGAGAGAGCGGGATGGATACAGCACTCTCTCCTACTCTAAAAATGCATTTTGGGAGGATTTATTCGAAAATAAAACCCCTCTTCAGAATACCCTACCCGTGGTAATAGGAAATAGAGGCTTGATTAATTTCGCGACATGCGGGGACTATCATCAGGTGGAACAGACATGTGCACAACTTACTCAAAAGGCTATTAAATACATGGATGCAAGGAGTAGGATAAAGTCAGTGATTCACCGCTTTGTCAAGCCAACACGCAGCCTCCCTCACGGCTTCCATGCGGCGTATCACCCCTGCCATACCGAGGCGGCAATTTTTGCTACAATTCACCCTAATCCATTAAACACACAATGCAGGAGGAGTTTAGCTACTTTTGTTTTAAAAGACACCTGGACATAATAGCGGGAGCAGTAGGAACAACAACAACAAGTCATCGTTACAAAGTACAAAACAATGAAATATTATGAACAATGAAGTAATGCACACAATACGTGTCGATAAGTTGGCACTAGGAGGGTGAAGTGTAGGGATTAAAAAGACGTCTAAAATAGCCCACATTGGTCTCTAAGGTAGGCGGGCAAGTAGGAGGACTGCAAAAATTTGCCATGAAGACAAGTTTTATGATAGCATCTGCTGGGAGAAGAAAGTAGTGCTCTCGTCTTACACTTTTTGACCTCATGTTGTGATCGGAGTAGAGGCAAACCTGCAATTAGTCAGCTAGTTGGTAAGGTCTAATAACTTCCATACGCCGTCAGGTTGATTTATGCGAGATGCGAAACTTTGCTGCCCTCGTGATGCGTACAGGGGAAAGAGGAGAGTCTGTGATTCTTCCCTTCCGATGACACATGAGTGGGATTAAATTCAAAGGTGTGCCTCTACGGTTTAGCTAATCGTTGGTGCACATTTTGACGCATTTAATTAAAAAATTACGCGCTCTCTTGAGAAAACCCTCCGGTTTATTAACACTAGACAATTGCTCTACCCTTGTGGCAATCAAAAATAAGTAAAGACAAGCCTGACGCCATATCTTCTGCCTATCTAAACTGCGTACGTCGATTCTATAACCCACTGCCTTAAGTGCCCACTGTCCATTTAACGTATTACTCACGAAGATGCGAGAGGCTGCTGGGAGAGATAGAGGGATGGAGCGAGAGAGAGAGACGTAGATAGAGGGGGTAAGAAGCATTAGCTGGAGCAACGCGGCATAAATTGACGCTTCTTTAATAATAGTTTAGAGTGTGTGAGTGTGTGTGTAGGCGGGTGTAGATATGGCCCGATATGGCCGCAATAGGTTGTGTGTGTGTGTGTGTGTGTGTGTGAGTGTGTATGTTCGGAGAGAGAGAGAGAGAGAGAGGGAAAGGGAGGGAAGTGCTCGTTTTAGATCTTCTTTAAATCGCGTGTTGTCGCTCACTAACTGGCTAATATACGAACTGTTTCCATAAAGCATTGAGTTTTCATGTATCGGCATCCATCCCACTTTTTCCAAAAGATCGCACCTTAATCCCCACTTCTCTACGGCATCCTAGAGTGCTAGACCAGTTTGATCTGACGAAAATCACAACTTTTTGATGTTGCTGAAAAATTTTTACCATTTCATCTGCCACAGTAGCTGTTGTTGGATGACTGATGCAATGGAGTAATTCAAGGGAGGTCCCAAACTCATTAATACAAAAAGTCAGCAAGGACACCCCAAGGAGTTGGCGTAAAGACCACAGGCAGTGGGTTACATTAATGGGGAATGGTTTCTATGATAATGGCTGACCAGAAGCTTCGCAAAAGGTAATACCAAGGCAAATTTCTCAACTTCAGCACAATCAGGTTAACAACTCTTATGCACATGGAGAAGGTGATCTTTCAAATGAATATATAAACATTGTGGAAGGAAAAGCATAGATTCTAACCCCTGTTTTGATCTCAATGTGGCAGTTACGCAGACGAGCACTTCCCGTTAAAAAGCAACCAATAGCTGCGCGAGTAATTCAAGTTCAAATCCATTTCGTCCAACACCATTGGTTAAAATATCGAGCGCCATGTTTGTCTTTTAAAACGACTATTGGTAAATTGATAAACACATTATGGAATTCAAACCACTAGTCTAGTGGCATAATGTTAGATTCAAGAGCGTGGGTGAGAACATGGTTTACAAACCCAGCGGGAGCTTTGACAGGAGACCCGGGATTGCAACTCTACGTTCGGTTCTTGATACACGATAAAATGTTTTGTCCGTAGCAATGGTCAATAGTATGTTAAAATGAAAATAAAGAGAAATGCCGGTCTTAAAGTTACAAAAGCCTAAGAGGGCACAATTTAACTCCAGTTCTGTGCCATGTGTTTTGGGGAACGTAGAGGTGCTTCAGACTACTGAACTTCGACTTTAAACTAGATCCACACCGATTTATAATAATTGGTCCACTCTCGAGATCTTTTTATTACTGAGAAGAGCCGATTTGAAAGGCAATAGTGAAAATGGAAGAGCGAGACCAGTTGGCAATCTGTTCAATAAACGACTATAGCGCTTTTGGA